GTGGCAGGTGCCCCGCGCCGTGGGGGGGGGCTCCCTCCATCCCTCCCTCCAGGCTTGGCCCATCGACGGGGGGAAGAACCTGGCCCAGGAGCCCACGCAGAGGGGGCTTCTCCTCACCGGGTGAGTGGCCTGGCAGTGGGGAGGGGGGCCTGGGAAACCCGAAACGCGCCGGGGCGGGGTGGGGACGCACACATCCTCAGCCCCTTCCTGCGGTGGGGGAGTGGGGTGGGGTGGGGGGTCCAGCCACTCTTGTTGGGTGGGCTGCTCCCCTCTCGTTCAGCTTGACGGCCGGGCAGGAGTGTGTAACCCGTTGCGTTGTCCCCCCTTGTCATCCCACCCCTTTCTGGCACGGTGGCTGCCAGCACACAGGCGGCTCTTGTTAGCCGGGCAGATGTCAGGGCCCCACGCTAAGAGGGCCTCCCCGTCGTCCCCCCTCCAGGCACGAGGACGGCACGGTGCGGTTCTGGGACGCCTCGGGGGTCTTCCTGAAGCCCCTCTACAAGCTGGGCACCGCCAGCATCTTCCAGACGGACTGCGAGCACGACAGCCTCAACCAGGTGGGCGAGGAGGAGTGGCCGCCTTTCCGCAAGGTGAGGTCCCCAGGGTGGAGGGGACATTGCTGTGGACCCCAGCACCCCCCTGCCTCCGCCAGCACCGGGTGCGGGTAAGCCCGGAGAGCTGGGCACGGAGGATGCACCCGCTGGAGCCGTCCCGGCTGCGCCCTGGGGACGTGTCCCCTGGCTCAGGGCACAGCTGCTGCGTGACGCCCCGTGGGGACACAAGGGACACTTGTTCCGCGTGCCCTGTCTCGCGGGTCTGCCCCAGTGCGGGGGGAGAGCCGGGGGACGCGTGGGGACAGACCTTTGCCGGGCGTGATGCCCGGAGCAGCCCGTGCACCGCAGCTGGTACCCGCCAGCTGGTGGGGGGACGTGGGGGTGCACCGGGGGGCTGCCCTGCAGCTGCATGAAGGCGCCTGGCTCCCCACCGCTCCTTCCCGTAGGTGGGCTGCTTTGATCCCTACAGCGATGACCCGCGCCTGGGCGTGCAGAAGATCGCTCTCTGCAAGTACACGGCCAAGATGGTGGTGGCCGGCACTGCGGGGCAGGTAGGGCGGCGGGGGGCAGAGCAGGGGCTGCCAGGCACCGCTCGGCTCCCCCGTTGGGGAGACACGGCACAGCGGGGGGCTTCAGACCCTGCGGACCCCTGTGCCCGTCCGTGAAGGGCTCCTACCCGCAGGGTTTAGCTCCCGGCCCGCGGTAGGGCAGGCTTTCCTGAGGGGGGTCCAGCATGCATCCCCCGCCATCCGTGCTTGTCCCCTGCAGGTGCTGGTGATGGAGCTGAGTGACGAGAAGTCGGAGCATGTGGTCAGCGTGGCCACGGTGGACCTGCTGCAGGACCGCGAGGGCTTCACCTGGAAGGGCCACGACCGGCTGGCCCCTAGGAACGGGCCCCTGCCCTTTGCCCCCGGCTTCCAGCCCAGCGTGCTGGTGCAGTGTGTGCCCCCCGCTGCCGTCACCGCCGTCACTCTCCACTCCGAGTGGAACCTCGTGGCCTTCGGCACCAGCCACGGCTTCGGACTCTTCGACTATTACCGGCGCAACCCTGTGCTGGCCAGGTATGGGGGCGGTTCTCGGTGCTGGGGGGACCCCCCTCGGTGCTGGCCCCCACCGCGGAGCGACGTGCGACGTGGGGGTCCGGACGCTGAGCGATGTCGGTGCCCGCAGGTGTACGCTGCACCCCAACGACTCGCTGGCCATGGAGGGGCCCCTGTCCCGCGTGAAGTCCCTCAAGAAGTCCCTGCGGCAGTCCTCCCGCCGCATCCGCAAGAGCCGGGTGTCCGGCAAGAAAAGGCTCAATGCCAGCAGCCCCTCCAGCAAGGTGGGCAGGGAGCGGGGGCCGCCATGGCTCCTCCTCCTCCCCGCCGGGCAGGGCTTGACCCCTGTGTCTCCCTGTCCAGGTGCAGGAGGCCAACGCGCAGCTGGCCGAGCAGGCGGGACCCCCCGAGGTGGAGATGACGCCCGTGCAGCGGCGGATCGAGCCCCGCTCGGCCGACGACTCGCTCTCGGGGGTGGTGCGGTGCCTCTACTTCGCCGACACCTTCCTTCGAGACGGTGAGCCAGGAAAAGCCCCCGAGCTGGGTCTGGCTGGTGCTGCGCTGTGGGGGAGGGGGCTCTGACGCTGCTCCCATCCCCACAGCCGCCCACCACGGCCCCACGATGTGGGCAGGGACCAACTCTGGCTCGGTGTTCGCCTACGCCCTGGAGGTGCCGTCGCAGGAGAAGTTTTCGGAGCGGGCGGTAGAGGCGGGGGGAGGGGAGGGGGTCCAGCTGATGCACCGGGGGCCAGCGCCAGTGGTGGCTATCGCGGTGCTGGATGGGCGGGGGAACCCCTTGCCCGAGCCCTACGAGGTCTCGCGGGACCTGGCCAAGGCCCCCGACATGCAGGGCAGCCACTCCATGCTCATCTCCTCCGAGGAGCAGTTCAAGGTGAGCGTGGCAGGGGCTCGGGGGTCCCCCTGTGGCAGGTGCGGGACCCGCCACCCACAACATGTCCCATGTCCTCTCTTGTGTGTCCCCATCACCCCGGGCGCAGGGATGGGGCTGGAGGTGACTGGCCAGGTCCTGGGGCACTCCTGCCTGTCCCCAGGGTGGTGGCTCCGAGGGGAACGTGCTGCCCTTTGCCCTTGGCTCCTGCGGTGGGAGGCTGCTCGGGTGCCCCCCGAAACCCCGCAGGTTCCTGTTCCCCTACGGCACCTGGCTCCTCTCCCCCCTCCCCAGGTCTTCACGCTGCCCAAAGTGAGTGCCAAGACCAAGTTCAAGCTGACAGCACACGAGGGCTGCCGTGTGCGGAAGGTGGCCCTGGTGAGCCTGGCCAGCGCCGGCTCCGAGGAGCGGCTGGAGAACTGCCTGGCCTGTCTCACCAACCTGGGCGACATCCACATCTTCACCGTGCCCGGCCTGCGGCCCCAGGTCCACTACGGCTGCATCCGCAAGGAGGACATCAGCGGCATCGCCTCCTGTGTCTTCACCAAGCACGGCCAGGGTGAGGGCACCAGACCTGGACGGGGGGGCGATGTCCCTTGTAGATGGGACATCGTCTCTGGCTGCAGCCCCACGGGGGGGTCCCTGAGGCTTTTTGTTGTTCCCCTCCCCCCCCATTCCAGGTTTCTACCTAATTTCGCCGTCCGAGTTCGAGCGCTTCTCGCTGAGTGCCAGGAATGTGACGGAGCCGCTGTGCCGGCTGGAGGTCGCCCGGCTCCAGGACACCTCCTGCCTCAGGTGGGACGTGCCCTGGGGGGGCACGGGGGCTTTGCTGCAGCAGCACCTGCCGGTGATGACGGAGCCGCTGTGCCGGCTGGAGGTCGCCCGGCTCCAGGACACCTCCTGCCTCAGGTGTGCCCCGGGGGGGCACGGGACGGGGCGACCGGCACCCACGTCCCTTGCAGCCCCGAGGGCCAACGCTCCCCTGCCGACAGCGACCGTGAGTGATCACCCTGTCCCTGCCATGCGCACCGCGTCCCCGTGGGCCCTGCTCCGGGGCCGGCCCCGTGTCACGGCTGCCCCCCAGCCCTCCCATCTCCGTGGCTCCCCAGGGTCCCCCGAGGAGCACCCGGCCGCCTTCTCGCCTGGCCCCCTCGACTCACTCCCCCAACAGCAGCATGGAGAACCCGCTGGACACCACCGGGGACATCACCGTGGAGGAAGTGAAGGATTTCCTGGCGTGAGTCGAGGGGGGGGAAACGGTGTAACCAGCACCCATGGCTGCTGCTGCCAGCACCAAGGGGCCGCGACGGTGCCCCCGGCTGCCTCTCACCCTGCTCTGCCCCAGGTCCTCGGAGGAAGCAGAGAGGAACCTGAGGAACGCCAGCGAGGACGAGGCCCGGCCCACGGGGATCCTCATCAAGTGAGGTGTGTGAGGGGCCGGTGGTCCCCAGGGTGGGTGGCCCTGCAACTGCGGTGGGGACGCGGCTCCGGCCGCAAACCCCAGGGTGCCGCAGGGTTCGGAGCTGGGACCCCAATGCAGCGCCCTGGCATCCCCATCCATCACGGGGAGGATGGGGCTGTGGTCGCTGGGGCTTGTAGAGGAGGGGGGAGCGGAGAGGCAGCATGTCCTGGGGGCCCCCCCCCCAGGTCCCCTTCTCAGGGGCTGCGTCACCCATAGGCATCGCCGGCCTCCCCGGCCCATCTCAGTGCTCGGATTCCCGGGACGCGCGACTCGACTGGACCCCCCCGCGCCCCCTCCCCGCGTAACGTAGACTCGCCTCTTCTCTAACA